CAGCCATGAAATTAAAAGACGCTTACTCCTTGGAAGGAAAGTTATGACCAACCTAGACAGCATATTAAAAAGCAAAGACATTACTTTGCCAACAAAGGTCCATCTAGTCAAGGCTATGGTTTTTCCAGTAGTCATGTATGGATGTGAGAGTTGGACTATAAAGAAAGCTGAGTGCCAAAGAATTGTTGTTTTTGAACTGTGGTGTTGGAGAAGACTCTTGAGAGTCCCTTGGACTGCAAGGAGATCCAACCAGTCCATCCTAAAGGAGATCAGTCCTGGGTGTTCATTGAAAGGACTGATGTTCAAGGTGAAACTCCAATACTTTGGCCACCTGATGCGAAGAGCTGACTCATCTGAAAAGACCCTGATGCTGGGAAAGATTGAGGGCAGGAGGAGAAGAGGACGACAGAGGATGAGATGGTTGGATGGCATCACTGACTCAACAGACATGAGTTTGAGTAAACTCTGGGAGTTGGTGATGGACAGGGATGCTTGCGTGCTGCAGTCCATGGGGTCACAAAGAGTCGGACACGACTGAGCGACTGAACTGAACTGAAAGAAACCTTAGGGCTTCCCCAGTGGCTCAGGAGTAAAGAATCCACCTGCCAATGCAGGAGACGCAGGTTTGATCCCTGGGTCAGGAAGATCCGTTGGAGAAGGAAATCACAACCCTGTCCAGAAAAATCCCATGGACAGGGGAGCCTGGCGGGCTACAGACCATGGGGTCCCAATGAGTCGGACACGACTAAACGACAACAACAAAGTAGCTTTTAGGTACCAGAAGATGCTACTGATCCCCTTCCCACTCCTCAGCCCTGAACTCCTCCCATTCTTCAGACAGTTAGGGAAATGACAAGAGCCTGTGATGCGGTTATCTGTCCTGTTACAGTTGAGGTCGTCCAACGATTCAAATGCAGGCTTTTCCATCTTCCTCCCTTGTGCAGATGATCAAGCTGAACTCGGGTTAATTCTCCTCCCTGAGGCCACGAAGCTTGGTGGCTGTGAAACCTGGCTCTGAGTGAAGCTTGGTCTCGGTCTCCAGAGCTCTTACAAGCTGTTATTACGCAACCTGCCTTCACTTCCTGGCTGTGTGACAAGCTCCTAGTCTTATGTGGTAGGGAGTGGCACAATAGCAGCGCAGTCTCCATGCAGGATCACTGAGGTTGGTCTGCCTGAGATCAAAGTCTACCAGGTTGGAGAAGGCTTAGAGGAGAAGGAGAAGATGGCACTCCATCGGCCTCTGATAGAAGAACTGGAGTTAACTGCGAAGGAAAGTTAGAAGGGCATTTATGGCAGAGGAATCAGTGTGAGTGCAGGATGGGATGTTCAGCCTCCTATTACTCACAGCCCTGAGCACTGACAGCACAGTGGTGAGATACCTAGATGTTCCCGTAGCCCTTGCCCCACACGAATTCCCAAGACATGCCTCTCTTTGTTGACCTTCACTGGCCACAAGGCGGCCGCCCCTACACAAGTCGCTCCCGGGAGCTCTGGATAAACTTCCAGCCTCGAAAGAAAGGACACACCCCCACGGAGCCACTGCCTCTGAGACCATTTGGCTCTGATTGGCTGCAAGACTTGCGCCTTCAGGCTAGCCACTCAGAGGCGCCCGCCAGTTCCCCCTTGCTTCTGATTGGCTGAGAGGAGCGCATGCTCAGACATACCACGGGCCACAAGCTTGGAGGCAGAACGGCCGTTAACTGGCCGGGGTCGTCATGCGGTTTCTTTAGAGACTCGCTGGTGTGTGACAGGTAACTCAACTGGGGAGCAGAGGAAGGAGGGGAAGGGGAGGCTGTGGGGTCCTGGGGCGGCCCTCACCCACCTCGGAGCTCTGGAAGGCTGCAGAGCCGATCAAGTGAGGGCCAGGCTATTGGGGGGTACCAGGCCCCATCTCCCCCGGAATCTGGCTCAGGGCGTGGAAGTTCACCTGACCTGTGAACCTGGACCATTTCCTCCCCTCAGTGAGTCTCTGAGTGTGATATGGGGACAAACTAGCGGTGAGGACAGGCCGCTGGGGCCCTGGTCTTACTTGGTGTCGAAGGGTCGCATAGGGGTCAGGGGTACGAAAATGGTTCATCAACCGTTGATCCCCTTTGAGGTGATGACGAACACGTTGCTGTCTTCTTGACTCCACACTGATACATTTGTTTATAATTAGAAAGTAATGCAAAAAAAGAAAGAAAGTAATGCATATTTCCTTCTTTGGAATTGGTAGAAAATTGTATATAGTGTATATTTCTCTGGTAGCAAAGAGAAAACTAGCTGTGGCTCCAGTCCTCACTTGGTTGGAAGGAAAAATTGTCAGGGCTAAGCCTCAAGAAGGAGCTGTAGGGGTTGTAGTAGTGACCTTCGAAGAATGGAAGCATGGTCTTTTGGGCTCGAGAGAAAGCAAGGAGATGGGAGTTGAACCTCTCATGAGGGTATTCTTAAGGTATACCTATGAGATAAAGCCTTACACCCAACACCTAATCTCTTCTCAATCTGTATAATTTTGTCACAAAGGTTGTAAAAATTATAATCATGTAGTTTGTAACGTTTTAAGATTGGCATTTTTCATACAGCATAATTTTCTGTCCCTTCAAGTTCTTGTAACTTGACACTTATTTTTAGGGGAGATTGGGGTACTTTGAGGACCATTGTAGACCTTGAAGCGATAGGAGCGGATCCCTCTTAGCCAAATCTGATGTCAAGAAAAGACAGCTCAGAGCTCAGGCATTGGATATTAATCTAGGGTCCATCACTTAGCAACTTTATGAAGTCGGCATGGCTACAAATATGTTTCTCAATTTCCTTATCAACATATGGAAGATAATGAAGAAACCTACGTTATAAAGTTATTGTGAGGATTGAAAAGGATAGTACATATGTACTCAGTAACGTATATATTATAAACATTCTGTAGTTCATCTTTTAGAGTTCTGTTATTAATCCATTTTACTCATGTCAATGTGAGAGAATAAGATTGATTGACTTATGGCTTTTCATCTTTGAAAAGGCCAACAATAAGCTCAGTCTATGTCTAATCTCCATTACCGTTATTACTATGATCTACCATACTAAAACCGTCTTCAAACTGGTCATATAACCCTCTAAGACTTTTTTTTTTTTTAGTTCTACCACTTTATTGCTACCAACCCATCTCCCTCCACCCTCGTGCACACATGCTCAGTCATGTAACCCCATGGACTGCAGCCCGCCAGGCTCCTCTGTCCATGGACTTTTCCAGGCAAGAATACTGGAGTGGGTTGCCATTTCCTTCTCCACCCTCTTAGACTTTAGACTATACTCCTAAGCTCCAGTAATCAAAGCAGTGTGATACTAGCAAAAAAGCAGACTTGTAGATCTATGCTGTGCCCAGAAATGAATCCATACACCTATGGGCAATTATCTACAACAAAGGTATCAAAAATATATAATGGATAAAAGACCGTCTCTTCAACAAGTGGTACTGGGAAAATGACAGCTACATTTAAAATAGTGAGGTTAGAATATTCCCTCACACCACATGCAAAATAAACTCAAAATGCTTTAAAGACCTACATGTAAGACCAGAATCCATAAAACTCCTAAAAAAAAAAGAAAGAATACTCTGACATAAATCATAGCAATATTTTTTGGATTAGTCTCCTAAGGCAAAAGACATAAAAGCAAAAGTAAATGAATGAGACCTATTTAAACTTAAAAACCTTTGCACTGCAAAGGAAACTATTGACAAAATGAAAAAAACTATGCAGTGTGAGAAAATATTTGCAAATGATGTGACAGGAATTAATATTAAAAATATATGAACAGCTTATACAACTCAAAAAGCAAACAAACCAATCAAAAATGAGAAGATCTAAATTAACATTTTTACTGAGAAGTCATACAGATGGCTAACAGGTACATGAAAACATGCTCAACTTTGCTAATCATCAGAGAAATGCAAATCAAAACCACAATGAGGTGTCACCTCACACCTGTGAGAATGGCTATCATCAAAAGGCTACAAATAACAAATGTTGGGGAGGATGTGGAGAAAAGAGAACGTTTATACACTATTGGTAGAAATGTAAATTGGTACAGCCACTGGAAAACAGTGTTTGTTGTTATTGAGTTGCAAAGTTGTGTCCCACTCTTTGCCACCCCATGGATTGCAGCACACCAGGCTTCCCTGTCGGGAAGACAGTATGAATTCAGTTCAGTCACTCAGTTGTGTCCAACTAACTCTTTGCGACCCCATGGACTGCAGCATGCCAGGCCTCCCTGTCCATCACCAACTCCTGGAGTTTACCCAAACTCATGTCCATTGAGTCGGTGATGCCATCCAATCATCTCAACCTCTGTTGGTCCCTTCTCCTCCTGCCCTCAATCACGCAGGGAAGCCTTGTTTGCTGAAGTCTTATCAGGTTGCAAGGTATTGGACATGACTGAACAACTGAAGTGAACTGAACTGATACCTGTAACTAACATAGTACTGTAAATCAACTTTTTATTCAATAAAAATAATAAGAAATAAGAAAATAGAATATCTGGCATTTTAGATAATAGGAAATGCTAGAGATAAAAAGAAAAGCAGAGTGGGGATTGATAGCGTATGTCAGAGAGGGTTGGCATTTTCATTTCGATAAGAGTTGAAGATCTCATTTGGAAAGTAATATTTTGGTAAAAGCTTGAAAGGGATGGGAGAATTTATGTATGTGAAAGAAGAACATTTGAAGCAGAGGAAAAACCAAATGCAAAGGACCTGAGGTGACAACATGCCTGGTAGCATGTTTGAGGCAAAGGTTAGTGTGGAGAAAGATAGGGATTGATAGTAGGACATGAGGTTAGAATATTAGGGGTAGAGTCTTAAAGTCATAATAAGGGCACTGACTTGTGTGTGCATGAAACAGTTTCATTTAGGTATAATTCACATACCATAAAAGTCACTTTTAAAAATGTACAATTCAGGGNACTCTGTGGGAGAAGGCGAGGGTGGGATGTTTCAAGAGAACAGCATCGAAACATGTATATTATCTAGGGTGAAACAGATCACCAGCCCAGGCTGGATGCATGAGACAAGTGTTCGGGCCTGGTGCACTGGGAAGACCCAGAGGAATCAGGTGGAGAGGGGGGTGGGAGGTGCGATCGGGATGGGGAACACATGTAAATCCATGGCTGATTCATGTCAATGCATGACAAAAACCACTACAATATTGTAAAGTAATTAGCCTCTAACTAATAAAAATAAATGGAAAAAAAACATTAAAAAAAAAAAAAAGAATCTGCTTGCCAATGCAGGGGACATCGGTTCAATCCCTGCTCCAGAAGATCCCACATGCCACGGAGCAAAAGAGGCCATACACCACAACTGCTGACCCTATGCTCTAGCGCCCGGGAGCCGCAGCTACTGAGCCCTGTGCCCCAGGACCCACACTCCACAAGAGAAACCAGTGCAGTGAGAAGCCTTTGCACCGCAACCAAGAGTAGCCCCCTCTCATCACAACTAGAGAGAGAGCCCACACACAGCACTGAAGACTCACCACAGCCAAAATATAAAATAAATAAATCTTTCTAAAAAATGTACAGTTCAGTGGCTTTTTGTATGTTCATAGAGTTTTGCAACCATTGTCAGTCAATTTTAGGACATTTTCATCTCTCCCGAAAGAAACCGCATACTCGTTAGTAGTCACACAGCATTCTTTCACGCTCCTCTGCCCCAACCCTGTATAACAATCTACTTTCTTTATAGGTCCACCTATTCAGGGCATCTCATATAAATGAAACAGTGTTTGGTCTTTTGTGATTGTGACTGGCTTCCTTCACTTACCATAGTGTTTTCAAGGCTTGTCTATGATGTAGCATATACTAGTACTTCATTCCTTTTTATAGCTGAATAATATTCAATTGTATGGTGATACATCTTTTTATCCAGTCATCAGTTGATAGAGATTTGGATTGTTTGCACCTTCTGACTATTTGAGCTTTCATTTACATGTCTTTGTGTGGATATTTGTTTTTATTTCTCTTGGGTATATATCTAGGAGTGGAATTTCTAGGTCATATGGCAACTCCTTTGGTTTGAGGGAATTCCCACACTCCTTTCTGAAGTGACTACTGTTTTACATTCCCATAATGATGTGTGAGGGTTCCAATTTCTTTACAACCTTGTCAATACTTGTTATCTGTCTTTTCAGTTACAGCCATCCTAATGGGTATGAAATTGTGTGTCATTTCCCTGATGGTTCGTGATGTTCACTATTTTTTCATGTGCTTATTAACTGTATCTCTTCTTTGAAGAAATGTCTGTTCAGTTCTTTTATTCGTTTCAAGTTTGATTATTCGTCTTATTATAAGAGTTTTTATATATTCTGGATACAAGTCGCTTGTTAGACATACGTATTTTTCCCCATTCTGTGGGTTGTCTTTTTACTTGATGGTAACCTTTGAAGGTCCGTCTAGTCAAAGCTATGGTTTTTCCAGTAGTCATGGATGGATGTGAGAGTTGGACCATAAAGGAAGCTGAGAAGACCCCCTTAGGTTGGAGGAGGCAGGAAAAAAAAAAGAAAGAAAGCTGAGCACTGAAGAATTGATGCTTTTGAACTGTGGTGTTAGAGAAGACTCTTGAGAATCCCTTGGACTGCAAGGAGATCCATACAGTCCATCCTAAAGGAAATCAGTTCCGAATATTCATTGGAAGGACTGATGCTGAAGCTGAAACTTCAATACTTTGGCCACTTGATGCAAAAAACTGACTAATTGGAAAAGACCCTGTGATGCTGGGAGAGACTGAAGGCAGGAGGAGAAGGGGACAACAGAGGATTAGGTGGTGGGATGGTATCACCAACTCAATGGACATGAATTTGAGCTCTGGGAATTAGTGATGGACAGGGAAGCCTGGTGTGCTGCAGTGCATGGGGTTGCAAAGAGTCTGACATGACTGAGCGACTGAACTGAACTGAACCTTTGAAGCGTATAAGTTTTTGTGAAGTCCATTTTATTTTTTCTTTTGTTGCTTGTAGTTTTGTAATATGTCTGAGAAGGTTTTGCCTAATCCAGGATTACATTTTATAACTCAAAATATCTTAAATTATGACTACGATTAATTTGAAGATGCTAAATTGTACCTTCTGTCACCTGCTGGTAAGATTCATTACCCTAATACTGCAGTTTTCAAAGTGTGGAATGTGGAGCCCTCTGGTGGAAACCAGAGAGTCTTTTAGAGTGTTTGCAAGTCCAAAACTAAGTTCATAATAATGAGATGTTCTTTGCCTTTTTCACTATGTTGATATTTGCACTAATGGTGCAAAAGCATTGGCAGGTAAAACCAGTTGGCAGCATCACCACCTGTAGCTTCTGGGAAATTTCATTGTACATTCTTTAGAATGCAGAAGAAAAAAATTAAAAACACATATATACAGTTGACCCTTGAACAGAATGACTGACTACTTGGGTCCACTTACGGGTGGATTTTTTTCAATAGTAAATCCAACAGTACTACGCAGTTGGATCCAAAGGTGGTTGAATCCATGGATGCGGAACTGCTTACATCGAAGTCCAACTTAATTTATACTTGGATTTTTGACTGCATGAACAGACGATGGGTACCTCTAACCTAAATGTTGTTCAAGGGTCAATAGTAGTTCTACAAATACTTTAGAATTTAGAAGTTAAAATTTAATCTATTATTATTAGTAGTATTATAAAAATAGTTTTGACCTCATGGGCCACTTGCAACAATCCTGGAGTCCCTCTAGGGGTCCACGGACCATACTCCAAGAACCACTGTCAAAATAGATCCTTTGATAGAAGAATTATTTGAAGTGCACTTTAAATTTCTACCATTATCACTTATATATTGAAGAATCTTTGATGTAAAGAAGTACTAACTTGGGGGAGGACAGTGAGGAGAAGGAAGGATTTATTACTTCCTGTAAATAAGGAGAACGAGGATCTTTTTCCAAAGGAGTTGCCCCCTGAACTGTAAAATTGGCTAGTTTTTTTGAGGGGGGTAATTTTTAAACCAGGAGTATGTGCATATTCATGAAGGGGCTTGAGCAGAGGGGAATTCAGCATAGAATTGGGGCAAAGGTCAACAGAATCAAGCTTTAGTTGACTGAAGTCAGGAGGGTCAGTGTCATCATTCCATCCTCCACCTGGGTAGGGGCCTTAGTTCCTCCAGAACCAGAACTGGTGTCAGTTGAGTGAAGCTCAAGTTCTTTATGCCTTGTCATAGAAAGAAGTCAGTGAGAGACAAAGTGATAGGTAGGAAGGGGATTTATTTAGAGAGGTGCACATTCCATAGATAGAATGTGATCCATCTCAAAAGATGAGAGCAGCCCTGGGAGAGAGACACTCCACAGAGTGTGGACCATCTCAGAAGGTAAGACGCTAAGTATCAATATATAATTTAGTGTTCATATGTGACTTTCAGTATATATGAAAGGGAGATCAAACCAGTCAATCCTAAAGGAAATCAGTCCTGAATATTCATTGGAAGGACTGATGCTGAAGCTGAAACTCCAATACTTTGGCCACCTGATGCAGAGAACTGACTAATTGGAAAAGACTCTGATGCTGGCAAAGGTTGAAGGCAGGAGGAGAAAGGGATGACAGATGAGATGGTTGGATGGCATCACCAACTTGATGGACATGAGTCTGAACAAGCTCCAGGAGTTGGTGATGGACAGGGAAGCCTGGTGTGCTGCAGGTTCCATGGGGTCACAAAGAGTCAGACACGACTGAACGATTGAACTGAATTGATACATGAAAGGCAGTATATTTTAATTTTTAATTATTATATATCACTTTATTATATGTGATCATAAATGCATTTATTACTATATTTATAAATACAACACATCCAGTTTCCTGAATAATCTTTACATATTTAAGCTGTATATTATATAGAATCATATATTCCATCATGTATGTATGAAATGTATGATTCTGTGTGTATGCATGTGTGATCAGTCGTGATTGACTGAGACCCCATGGACTGTATGTAGCACACCAGGCTCCTCTAAGACAGTATGTTTTATTTTTATTTATTTATTTATTTTATTTTATAAGACAGTATATTTTAAATTAGTACATTATATCTGTTTTTAACTTTTCTAAATTCTGTGATGAAAAGACTATGTGCATATCATCAGAGTGTGGCCCTTAAAATAACTGCCAGAATCAGGCACTGATTTCTAGTTTGGGTGCAAAAATAATAGTCAGGATCTGTCCTATGGACACAACAGCTAGGTTAAAATCTTTATCATTCAACTACTTATGTGAATTTTTCTAGGTTTTAACCTACAGTAATATTTCTCTCCAAACATTCCAAACTCTGTAATAATAAGCTGTGACTGCTAAACCGTAAGGTGGGAGGGAGTGATAATGTTGGTGATTGTCTTGAGCACCTCCCTAGGTAAGAATTTTGAAACTTAACTTCATGAGAAGGAATATTTCTTCACATGTAAATTTTTCACATATTTAAGAATTGTAATATTTTTTGGATTCCCCAAATTAATTCTAAACTGAATTTAAATGTTACATATAAAATAAATTTGAACTGAAAAGCTGATTACATTACTTCATAGCACATAACCTGCGAGAGGCCCTAGTATGCAGATGATGATGTGACAATGAATTTGGAGTTGCCTTCAACTTTGGGGGAAACAGAAGAAACTGAAGCACAAAACAGAAACTTAGAGAAGCTGAAAGAAGCTAAAGTATTTAAAAACATATTAAATGGGTGAGTTTAAATACTCTGGTTATTTCCTTATTTGCAATATTGTTGGTTAGAAGATTGTGCTCATGAATAAATGATGTAAGTTATGCTCAACGTAGAAAATGCATTTCTTTGTTTCATGCTCATAATTCCAAAATCAGTTTTGCATGTTAAAATATGTTTAATATAGCTTGACTGACACTTTTGACCAAATCAGTTCCCCTTCTCAATTATATACGAGAGATCCTTTTCAAGTGCGTTATTATTGATCACAACATCTCTTTCTTTTTTCCTTAAATAAACCAAGACACTAAGGTAAGTATATATTAAAACTGCTAACATTGTATGTGCATATCCTATAATGTAAAATGAGCCCCATTTAAAAAAAAAGTATGTAAGAGGAGGGCTTTTATGATGCAGATACAGTGGTGTTCTGTGGATATTACATGAGCTCTATATTACGTTATGTCATTGTGTAGGTGTGAGTACTGCTTATATAATATTTGCACCCAAAAGTGTATGTAAACAGGAACTCACACACAAGTTTACATACACATATTCTTGTTTGATAACACAAAGTATTAAAGTATTCAAAGTATCATTTTATGTTATATGATGTTTAAATATTTTCAGAAAAGAGTGAAAGTTAATTTTTGACATGACATTTTTAAGTACCATAGATAATGTATGAAAAATGTTTTCTGATTAAAAATACGTACATTTTATTTTATACTAGGTATCACTCCTTATCTTGAAATGTTCTCAAATGTCATAGCACGAGACAACCACGGTGGCATTGTGAATATAAGGTAAATACTCAGTCTTTCCCAGGTGACGCAGTGGTAAAGAATCTGCCTGCCAAGGCAGGAAACATGAGACGTGGGTTCCATCCCAGGGTTGGAAAGATCCCCTGGAGGAGGGCTTGGCAGCCCACTGCAATATTCTTGCCTGGAGAATCCCAAAGACAGAGGAGCCTGGCGGGCTACAGTCCATCGGGTCATAGAGTCGAACATGACTGAAGCGACTCAGCACGCATGCATGCACACACTCAGTCTTTCTATGCATCTCCTTATCCACATTGACTTCTGGCACTTAGGAAGGCTTGGTACATCCCAGCTCTTAGCTCTGTGGTGCTAACGTGTAAGCAGATTCTGGAGATGAGTGTTGGTGTGGGAATGTCAGGGAAATGGCAGGGCTCGAGGAGGCCAGAGGAAAGAGAAGCGGGAGGACAGGGATACCTGTTCCTAAGAGATGGCCGAGATAGTGTCTTGACATCCGGGAACACTGAGGGGGGTGTAACCCTAAGGGAATATGGCCCAGTGTTTCTCCTAACTGCTTCGAAACAGTTCTGTTTTTCTTTATTGAAAGCCCTGGGTTTTGCAGCTCAAGGCTCCACTGTTTAGCACAGTACGGAGCCATTATTTTTTGACAGACTTTTCACCTTTTCTTTTTACACTAGCCCAAAAGAAGATGGCAGCAACAGACCGTGGTACATGTCTGCACCCTTTTCCAGTCTCCACGGCCACCACCTGCCTCCACAGGCTCCACCTGAGGATTCTCAGAGCTGCAGGAACGAGAGTTTTTTCCAGCTTCTATCCTCATGGTGACTCCCCATGCAGTTACTTGAGAGCTGTGGTAAACCATTTCTCTGTAATAAAAATACCCATGATACTCTTCTCTACTGCCTCTTTGAAATGTAAGATGGCAGTATTAAAAAAAAAAAGATGGCAGTATTAAAATTGCTTATATTGAATGTACTGTCATTTCCAAAATTCTTCACATGGCCAAATAAAAATATTCTCTTTGAGTAGGCAAACCTGTATTTAATATTTTGTATCCCAACTGTTTAACAAGGAGGGATCGAACTTTGAGTTAAGGAGAGAGGAAGAACCCCACCGGGCTGACATAGGTAGAAAGTCGTGGTTGGAGGGAACTGGCTACTCCAGAGACAGGATTTGGTGGGTTGTATGTGTGTTGGGGGGGCTACCCTGGTGGCTCAGTAGAAAAGAATCTGCTTGTCAATGTAGGAGACTCGAGTTCAATCCCTGGGTCATGAAGATCCCCTGGAGAAGGAAATGGCAACCCACTCCAGTATTCTTGCCTGGGAAATCCTATTGGAAGAAGTGTTGCTGAAGCTGAAGCTCCAATACTCTGGCCACCTGATGTGAAAAGCAGACTCACTGGAAAAGACCCTGATGCTGGGAAAGATTGAGGGCAGGAGGAGAAGGGGGCGACAGAGGATAAAAGATGGTCAGATAGCCTCATCGACTCAATGGACATGAGTCTGAGCAAACTCTGGGAGATGGTGAAGGACAGAGGAGTCTGGTATGCTACAGTCCATGGTGTCACAGAGCAGACACGACTTAGTGACTGAAAAACAATGTGTGTTGGGTGGTAGTTGCTCTGGAGGAGGAAAGGAATATATGGTATGCTCTGAAGAACTGATGGAACATGTTGGTGTCTCCCAGTATGGAAGGGGCCTCTCTGGAGTCTCGGCTGCTCCATGAAGACTCTGCAGCCCATCAGCAGTGTCCCATTGTTCTTTTATGCTAGTTCCCAGAGTTCAACAACTGTAAAATCACCAGTGGGGGAAAAAAAAATTAAAAAAAACAAATCACCAGTGGGCGTAGAGTTGCCGGGGGTGGGGGTGGGAGTTGGAGGGGTGGTAGACAATATTTGGGGGGTTTCCTAATAGTGTAAAAAGTCTCTCTCTGAAAGAAAGTCATTGAAATTGGCCTCCATACTGAGGAATGGTTCAACAAACTCATAAATCAAATGATTACAGATATATTTCTACTGATTGGGTATAGCAAAGATGAAAAGGCAGGAGTGTCTCCCCAGCCTGTTCCAGTGTTTGGCTTTCTTTATTGGGTGAATTTGAAGAAAGAGATGAGCAGTGTTCTTAGATCAACAGCTTCTTCCAGACTGCCAAGCAGAAGCCAAGGGAACTGACCGAGGAGCTGCGCTGCTGAGGTGGCTGCCGGGAGTGGGGGTAAGTGTTCGGCACCGCCTGCTGATCAGGGTTGAGCCGGAAGGGGGCAGTTGGCCCTGAGCAGCTCTCCTGAAGCCCCATGGTGTTCCCTGGACTGGAGGGCTGCAAGTCAGCACCCTTCCACGTGTCCTTCAGACAAGACCTTCGTGAACCTGAGCCAGGCTGGAGCAAAGCCTTTCAGTTATCTGCTCCCCATCATATTTCGTCTTACTTTTTCCTCTCTGGGCCACTGGGGGTGGGGATGTCAGAGGTCAGGGTTCAGGAGCTCAGGTTGGTGGGAGGGTTGAGTCCTACTCTCAGAGCACCAGGGGGTTCACTGCGGGGCAGACCCTGGGGTGTCCGAGCCTCGCCCAGAAACAGATCCACCTCAGAGTAGAAATGGCCTCTGGCCGGCAATCCTGGGCAGTGTCTTCCCCTCAGTGGGTCTCCAGCTGTAACATGGGGACCGCTTGTGTGGGAATGAGGTCGTTGGGCTCCAGGCTCCAGGCCTCTTCTGCTGTCAGCGGTTGCTTCTGGGAGGAGTAAGACTGCTCCATCTCTTTGAGATGATAGCATTTGTTCCATGATGAACACTGGCCTCCTGCCTTCTTACTGATACATTTGTTCATAATAGAATAATGCCGGTTTTGTTTTCAGAATTTGACCATACTTGGGTGTTATATATAGTTCCTTGAATCCAAAGAGGAAATTAGCTGTTGTCTTCTATCGTCGCCTGATGGGAAGGAAGAGCTGTCAGGGTTGAATTCAAAGAAGGCGTGTTGCACACTGGCTCTAAGCTAGCCCTGGTTTGCTCTGGGGCAGAAGAAAACCATAAGGAGCTCAAAGAAAACATGGAAGTGGAAGTTGACTACCCCATGGGGTGTTCCCCAGAGCTTCTGCTAGATGGAGCCTTCAATACATTTGCATCACTGTGGTCACAGGTAGAGCTAACGTTCAGCTGGAAAGAAAAGCATTGATGAGGTTATGGTTTCTCTTACTTCAAAGAAGGCTGCTGTCAATGGTGACTTCAGCCTTTGTCGGATCTCAGTTACGATCAATGTCCGTCCCCACTTCCTGCACTGAGCATCACTGTCCCCAACTGGTTTCCTCCCCTTTCTCCATTCCTTGCCTCTGACCCCACTGTCTCCTTAGCCTTGCCAGTGAGTCCCTCCTTTGTGGCTTCATTTGGCAAATACGATTGGCAAATAGCAACTATTTTCAGGAGCCTGCCTTTATTCCAACAAGCAGAGCCAGGTATGATTTCTGTTCTGTTACACAATTGTGCTCAAATCTCACTCATTCAGTATTACACTTTACAAAGTATCTCTTTAATTCACTGCACACCTCTGTTCAAATCTTTATTTGTTGTTTATTTTTGGTTTTGGTTGTGCCGGGTCTGCCTTGCTTTCTCTGGTGGCGGTGAGCAGTGGCTGCCTTGCGGTTGCCGCGTGTAGGCTTCTCGCTGCGGTGGCTTCCCTTGTCAGGGAGCACAGACTCTGGCCCGCGGGCTTCAGGAGTGGCAGCACAATGGCTCAGTAGCTGCGGCTTGCGGGCTGTATATCGTTGGCTCAGTAGTTGCGCACAGGCTTGGTTGCTCTGTGACCTATGGAATCTTCCCAAACCAGGGATCGAACTCGTTTCCTGTATTGGCAGGCTGATTCTTATCCACTGTACCACCAGAGAAGTCCTCAAATCTTATTTTATATAATGTATCTGTCATCATTATCTTCTCACATTGTCGTCATCTCCATGGGATTGTGAACTGGTGCCCTGAAACATGGATATTTCCTCTTGAAATCCTCATTGTTCAATATGTAGGAGATGTTCAGGATATCTTACTGAATCATTGAATAAATTTTCACCTAGGAGAATTGGTCATAGCTTAAATACTTAGGAAAAAAATCCCTTGCTTTTGTTTTTGTTATTGTTGTTTACTAGGAAGACTGCACATTATTCCATTATCATTTATTACTAATTATATTTTCTATCTGGTGAATTTTTACTTTTATATCTTTTGTCCACTACTGAAGTCCTAAGTTTCTTTTCTCTTTTCTAATTAATTTTTATTGAAGTATAGTTGATTTAAATTTCTTTGTTATTTCATATAAAATAATTTGTATAAGAGATTCATTCAGCAAATAATATTAAGCATAATCCCATGTGTGACATTGTTTTAGGTGCTAGAGCTGTGTAGTTAACAACGAAACAAAAATCCTTGCATGTTGGGTGGATTTTTCTACAAAAGGGTCTGTTCTGAGGGTTTTTTTTTTGTTTTTTAAAAAATATTTATTTGACCATTCTGGGTCTTATTGCAGCAGGCAGTTGCGGCATGCAGGACCTTTGCTGCGGTGCACAAGCGTCAGTACTTGGCAGCATGTGGGTTCAGTAGTGTGGCTTCCGGGCCCTAGAGTGTGCAGGCTTCGTAGTTGTGGTGCATGGGTGGTTGCTCTGAGGCATGTGGAATCTTCACAGACCAGGGACTGAATCTGTTTTCCCTTCATTGGCAAATGGGTTCTTATCCACTGTACCATCAGGGAAGTCATGTTTTCTGCTTTTTGGTGGTGCTTTGCAGCATGTGGAATTTTAGTTCCCTCAGCAGGGATTGAACCTGCACTCCTAGTGAAAGCTTGGAGTCTTAACCACTGGACTGCCAGGGAAACCTCTGACCACAATTTTGGTTAAATGGTATTTTATGATCATGTCATTTATACTATCCTGCAGTCACTTCCCCAATCAACCTCTTGTATAATACTCTGGAATCACTAGGAACCAGCCCTAATTGCCCTGCGGCTTGGTAACCAGATGACTAGGGACAACCCTTCTGTCTCAAGCCTACAAAGTTTCTCAGCTTAGTCTCCAGGGAACTCTTGAAAACTAACTAATCCCAACCTGCTTGCCATATATAACCTGCTCCCTACAACTCTTAACTTGTTACTCTGTCCTCGTGTCCACCCACAGTGTGGCCCTGCCTGGCAGCCTTCTCTCGTGTTAAGCTGTAAGTTACAGGTCTGACAGCAGATCCTGGCTGTTTTATCACTACTGCTCTGTGGCAGAGTTTCATGGAGCGCTTCCCGAAGCTTCCAGTGTCAGACTTGCTGGTCCCGTGCGTGGCTATGGGGATTGTACTTTGATGTCTTTGGTCTTGAAGTAAGGCTTGGTCCACAAGGGGGCGCAGTAGTCTCATGCTATTGCTTTGCTTCCTAGTGAAGGTCTGTGTGGTGAGGCTTATCACCTTGCTTTGGAGAAGGGTTTGCCCTTGGTGTTACTGTTGGTCACCTTCTCCTCTGGTCAGGTTTCAGAAACTCAGCTCAATACAAGATTTTGTCCATGAAATGCACTGTGTCTCTGGCTGTGTTGCCTTGAATGCACCACCTCCCCTCTATGGGTTCTTAAAATGTGATCCTTTTTTTGTATATGTGTGGGGGTGGGAATATTGCTTAGTTTTGAAAACTTTACTGGAGGGAAAACCTATTTTGTGTTTCTTCGGGACAGTATCATTATTACTTTGCAAACCTGAAGAATGACTTTCTCCAGAACAGTAACTTTTGCAACTTGGAAACCTGAAACCTGCTTTTAACCTGAATACTGACTGTGATTGTGAAGATTGATTGTGGCCCACTGAGTCTAAATCAAAATATTTTCTGGATTCCTAATGACGGCTAAGGGAAACATGCCAGGCTCAGCCATTTCAAGAGATGAAGCTAGCATATTCCTGTATGTTTTATGCAACCTACTAATTTTCACAGCTGGTGCCGTTTTGAACACCTATCTGGACCAGACACCACGCTAAGTGTTTTACAAACTTTGGCTCATTAATCCTCCCACAATCTTAATGCATTATCACCCCCTTTTTTACCGATAAGAAAATTGAGGTTCATATAGCATACACGGTGGCCCTGAAATCCTAACCCAGACTGAGCAGACATATGCGCTAGCCAGCACAGACTCAGAGCTCTTACTCACTCACACGTGGGGCCAGGGGCCTGTCACATGGCCAGTCAGTCAAGGGAGCACCAACTGCTCCCTTAAAGATACTTAAAGATGGCTTTAAGGGGCCATCTCCAGACCCATAATGACCAACTACCACTGATGACGATTTCAACATCCAGATAACACCAGTTCTTCTAGAACCTCATCTCTTTTCCCCGTCCATGCAGGGGTCCACAGAGACTTGGACAACACATTCAGATGGCCTTGCCCAGGGCAACTCGTCCCTCAAGGCTTCTAATTCCATGGTGGAATCTTCCTCAGGCTCTGCATTTCTAAAAATATGTCCATTGTATAGGTTACTCTGTATACTGGGTGTCCATGTATTTGTCCAATTGTTACCCAGTCAGCCCGTGTGGACCCCTGCTGGGGCCCTAGCCCAGCTGAGGCCCCCACCTCAACAGGGAAGGTTCTCACTCCTTTCAGGTTCATGCAGCCAGAGACTAAACCAAAGCTGAGACTGATGTAGCACAAGCTTTATTCAATGGCCTGAGAATGGAGAAGTGGGAATGTGTTTTAGAGGAGCTTCTTCCCAACATGGCACAACTTTGGACCATGGCTGGGGGCAAGGGTATCATTTAGTAGCTGATGTAGTAAAATCAGTGTAGAATGAGACTCAAGGGCTGCTGGAGATCAGATTCATCTTGGTTCCAACTGGTTCCATGTGGGTTTTTGGTTCTACTGGTTCCATAGATTCCCTTCTCTGGACCCTGTGACTTAAAGATATGCGTTAGCTCCTGTCCACAGGTCTGGTGTCAGCTCTGGCAATAACATATACCTGAGACATTTTTACTCTCTTATCTGCTTCCAGAGTTCGTGGTAATATTAGCACTGGGAAAGCATTGCAATAAGGAACTGTACCATGCTCAGCATTTAACCTGAGTCCAAGCCACACATTCCCCAAGCTTCTTTGTCCATTTCCTTTTACAGAATCTCTGTCCATCTGGCTCTGCAGTTTACCTGGGGGAACATTGCTCTAGCTTAGGAGCCCTCAACCTCAGTACTGCTGGTCTTGTGGGCTGGGTGACTCCATCGTGGAGGGCTGCCCTGCATGTGGTAGGATTTTAAGCAGCATTTCCAGTCTCTTCCCAATAGAAGCCAGAAGCAACTCCCCCACCCTAAATAAATCTTACTCTATTATACATAAAGCATATATATATACACATATATATATATACAAGCATATTTACTATTTATCTGTGGTATTATTATTTATTTTGACCATACTGCGCATCTTGGTGGATATCAGTTCCCCAACCAGGGATTGAACCTGGGCCACAGCAGTGAAAACAATAGAAAGTGGTCTAACCACTAGACCACCAGGGAACTCCCCTATTTATACGTGGTATTAAAATATTTCGTGGAGGATTTCCGTGGTGGTCCAGTGGTTAAAACTGCATTGGGGAACTCAGATTCCACATGCCACGTGATGTGGCAAAAAAAAACCAAAAAACAAATATATCATGGGGAGGTGATGATGAAAAAAATGTGTGAAAAGACTCCTTGGGATGGGGTGATAAAAAAAGGTTGATAAATACCACTCTAGTTCAATTTTTCAGTTCTTATTCATGCAACTTCCTCAGGAAAAATGAGCTTTGTGGCTCTTTTAAAAAAAGCTGAACGAAAGAGCCAAGCACCTGTAGACACACAAAAGGAGACATCTGAGAGCTGGCAGGGGCCGAGGGTGCCACATTGAAAAAACTTAGACCGATGTCAGCCCCTTGGCTATGACTGGTAGGTGAACCCAAAGAAACGCTCAGCCAGGACCACCGTCCAGGGGAAGCGCTGCCGTTTCTAAGTAGGAGAGGCTTGGGGGAAGGGTCTTCCTGTGGTGCGGGGGCTTGGAGCTTTGTCGTCATGTCCCTTACACCAGACTGAGGACATTTATTGACTAGGTTGACCAGAGCCTCCATGTCACTGCCAGACACACACATCTGAATACACTTCCCTGCTCCTAACTATTATTCTTAAATAAATCTGGCTTCTCACTCTGACCTCCTCAGACCCCATTGTTTAGAGAACATATCGTGGCATATCTTGGTTGCTGGTCACGGCGCATCCAGGATGGGGAGATAACAAAACAGCGCATTGATCCAGAACATAAAGGTCATCTCTAGTGCACATAGCCAGCTAAACTGGAAAAAAGGTAAATTAAAAATCCAGCAAATTTTAAAACATGAAAAAGTTTCTCTCTTGAAAAACTGACTTCCCCGATCTAGCAGAGCACAAACCTTCCCAGCTTTCAGTTTGGGGAAATGAGTAAGTAACCTGAACCCAAGCGGAGAGTCAGTCATTTTCTGCTTCTTACTTCTATCAAAAAACCCCACTTGAACTCAGCGTGCGTAGATGGGCGAGGAACAGACTTGGTGTTCACAGGAAGCCACGCGCCCTTCAAAGGCACCTGTCTGTCTTAGCGCGCTGCTTCTCGAGCAAGTCGGGCACTGCCTCGCAGACCTGCCTTGGAGCCGCTTTCAGAAAAGCGAGGTAAGGGGGCAGGTGGTGTGGGCGCTTGGATTCCCGGACCCTGAGCTGCTCTGCCCGCAGGTGTGTGGGGTTGGGAGCGCTGAACGCTGCCCAGGTGGACAGCCAGCCGATGACTTGGGCATCCCGGTCACTCTGCTGGTTCATCCTAGATGGCACCTGTCCTTACGGCTCACACACAGCCCTCCCAGCCCTCATCTGACTGGCTCTCCCAGGCTTAACAGTGCTCTCCTCCCGCACACATCTGGCCTAAGCCATGTGCTCAGAGCTCACAGTTAATTTTCATTCACCATATATACTTTTCCACTTCTGGCTTCTGTCAAGACTCCCGGCTCAAGAGACACCAGTCAAATAAGGGCTGCCGAATAATTCCAGACATTTACCAGCTGTGTCGACTTCTGTTTCATCTCCTGATAATTTCCTAACACCTCAGCCTCTCTTATTCCTTTCATGTTCACTGGTAAAATGATGGCGGTAGACCAGAATTGTTATTTGTTTAATTGGAATTGATAATCACTTAACACAATTTTTTTTTTTTTTTTTGAGAACCTGCGATGCCCCAGGTTTTCGGCATCCCTTTGCAGGAATAAATCAAAACTTCTCTGTTGAGAAACATGTAGTTTGGGTGTTTGGGTGTGTGGTGGTCAGAGTGGGAGATGGGGAATGTATGTGGAATTATTGAGCGATGTGATAGGGCTTTGATTAAGAATATCAGGGTGCCTCTAAGAAGGATGCAAGGAGAGGTGGCCTTGAGGCAGAAAGCCTCCTGCACTGCTCTGACTCACATGTGGACATGTGCGTAACTTTCAGAAGGTCTTAACCTCTTCATCTGCCAATTTAGATAGGAAATGAGGGTGGTTGAGCGTGTGTGTAAGGTTAAGACTGTAACCTCATCTGCCAGTTTAGATAAGAAATGAAGGTGGTTGGGAAGGTAGAGATTTTATTTCTGGCTATGAGGTGCCTTTTCTAGATCTATCCTGCTAATTGCCACTCTGATGGCATTCGTGCATAAAATTGATCTTTATATGCAGTTCTGATGAAAAGACCAGAAATTTCCCTCAACTTACCCAACTGAATACTGCCCCCTTTCATAGGGCCTGGAAAAACACATTTGCTGCTTTAGTGTCAGACTGGCCCGGGAGTGGCCAGCCACGCAGCCTGGGAGTCCAGCTGTGTCCCAGGTAAGACAGTGCTCCAGAGCAAACACAGGACTTGGGTGTGGTGTGCTGGGGCCCACCTGCAACAGTGCTCAGTAGCTGATTGTTAAATCTTCAGAAATTCTGGGGGACAGTTGGTGATCTGACCTTGGCCACAGTGGGAGTGTTTGGGCTTCCCCAATGGCTCGATGGTAAAAGAATCCCCCTTCAATGCAGGAGATGTAGGTTCGACCCCTGAGTTGGGAAGATCCCCTGGAGGAGGGCATGGCAACCCACTCCAGTATTCTTGCCTGGAGAATCCCATGGACGGAGGAGCCTGGTGGGCTACACAGTCCAGGGGGGTTGCAAAGAGCAGGACATGACTGAAGCGACTTAGCACACACACATGGTGGGAGCGTTTACACCGTGGGGACCAGCATGAGGCACACATCAGAGCCCCCCAGCCCCACCTCCTCACCCTCCCAGACCTGGCTCACCTACAGCACCGCTGGGACTTGGGGCCCAAAGAAGACGTTCTCTGTGTGGCCGTGTGGTCTTCAGGAGACGCTTAACTTCTCCGAGACTTTGGTGAGTCATCTGCACCACAGCTCAGTGTGGTATTTGGCTTAGAATACCAGGTTTTTGTTGGAAGGGGTGTAGAAACAGGAATACAAGACTGGATTGAATGCACAATACCAGCGAACATGCTATGAAATCTGTAAAGTGCAAAGCACACAGAAGGAATTAGAATTTTTACACAAAAGCAAGAGGTCAACCTGGTTCCTTTCTAGCCTGATGATTTACCTAAGTCATCTCTGAATTTTGGGCTTTACAATCTGAAGGGGAAACATGCATAGATTTTCTATCTTGTTTTTTTTTTTTTGCTTTCATGTCACAAAGGCCCTGGCTGCGGTACTGTTTGGCAGGTCATCTGGTCTTGTCATTTCTGTGAGTGATTTCAGTAAATGCCAGACTGGCTTTCAGAAATACATCCTTGAAAAACACCTCACTGAAAGAAGGTTTTACTTCTCCCGCTTACAAATGGGAGAACCAGAGCTCCCGGCAGAGGGGTAGGGAAAGTGGCAAAGCTGGAGTTGCTATCTGTCTGCCGCCAAAGGGCAGGATTATTTCACTGTGGCTGCACTGCTCTTCAGTTCAAGGACCTGAGCCCCTCAATGCCAGAAGCTCAGGAAGAGTGTCTGATGATCTGGGCGAAGCAGCTGTGCTCTGCACACAGCACCGTTCTGATTTGTTTCTTATAGAAATCTGTTGGCTCTTCCCCTCATTAGGTTCTTCTGGTTGGGCTCTGACCTGCCTTGAGGAGCCTGTAAATCTGAAAATGAACCCCACGGATACAGCAGACACCACCCTGGATGAAAGCATCTATAACAGTTATTATCTCTATGAAAACCTCCCCAAGCCTTGCAACAAGGACGGAATCAAGGCATTTGGGGGGCTCTTCCTGCCCCCACTTTACTCCTTGGTCTTCCTCTTCGGTCTGCTTGGAAATTCTGTGGTGGTCTTGGTCCTGTTCAAGTACAAGCGGCTCAAGTCCATGACTGACGTGTACCTGCTCAACCTTGCGATCTCAGACCTGCTCTTCGTGCTCTCGCTCCCTTTCTGGGGCTACTATGCTGCAGATCAGTGGGTGTTCGGGCTTAGCCTCTGCAAGCTCATTTCTTGGATATACCTGGTGGGCTTCTACAGTGGCATCTTCTTCATCACACTCATGAGCATCGATAGGTACCTGGCCATCGTGCACGCCGTCTTCTCCCTGAGAGCCAGGACCTTGACGTACGGCGTCATCACCAGTGTGGCCACGTGGTCAGTGGCTGTGCTCGCCTCCCTCCCAGGCCTCATGTTCAGCACGTGTTATACTGAGCGCAACCACACCTACTGCAAAACCAAGTACTCTTTCAACTCCACGCGGTGGAAGGTCCTGAGCTCCCTGGAGATCAACATCCTGGGGCTGGTGATCCCTCTGGGGATCATGCTGTTCTGCTACTCCATGATCATTAGGACTTTGCAGCACTGCAAAAATGAGAAGAAGAACAAGGCAGTGAAGATGATTTTTGCTGTGGTGGTCCTCTTCCTGGGTTTCTGGACCCCTTACAATGTGGTGCTCTTCCTGGAGACCCTGGTGGAGCTGGAGGTCCTTCAGGACTGCACGTTTGAGCGACACCTGGACTATGCCATTCAGACCACAGAGACCCTGGCTTTTGTTCACTGCTGTCTCAATCCTGTCATCTACTTCTTCCTGGGGGAGAAATTTCGCAAGTACATCGTACAGCTCTTCAAAACCTGCCGGGGCACTTTGGTGCTCTGCCAATACTGTCGATTCCTCCCAATGTACACTGACACCCCCAGCTCATCTTACACACAGTCCACAGTGGACCATGATCTCCGCGATGCTCTGTAAAAACTGAAAACGCAAGAAACAGTTAATAAGCTTCCCAAGTTGAGAGCTTATTTAAAATTGCATCAAAGTAACAGTTTCCTGAACAAGCACAGGGGAGAAGAATTACATCCACTGCAAAAAGCAGGGCTTCTCACCTGGAAGTCACGTTTTCTTCCTGCCAAGCACAAGTTCAGTGTGACCAGAGTTCCCCTGGACCGAGGCATCCTTCCTTGCTGCACCAGGCTTTCCTGCAGGGATGAATGAACCTGAGACAGTCCTGAGCATGTTTCAGTGAGGAGAGAGATGATTTTGGAAAGGGAAGTCTATTCCCTTCCAACCTGAACTCGTGGGATTCTTTTTTTTTTTCATGGCATTCTTTAGAGGGGTTTGTAGAGCATTGACTGGGGGAGTAAAGCGCTAATTCTTGCTGTGAAAATGAGGCCTTTAAACTTTTACTAGCTTCTGTGAAACAATATAGAAAAACTTTGGCTTACTGTCCCAGTGGTTTCCTAATCATATATCTGAAGCACAGTGTACTCCATGAAGCCAGGTGTCTGCAGAAACGAATAGTAAAGGCATGAAACTAGATCTGGATTCTTTTATTGTGAAGGATTATTTGTTAATGAAAGCCCACCAATGCTGAGAACAAGTATAAGCTTAAGAGGGCGTTAGAATGGTCTGATTTCTAAACATGAAATGCAAGGCATTAACAAATCTAAATATAAGTTGTGGAAATTCAAACACAGTTTCATATGCTTGTGGTGTGTTTTATTTTCATTAATACATGAGTATTCAAATTTAAGAAATAATACATAGGCCCAGATACATTTATTTGGGGTCCTTTACTCATTTACAAGCATTTCCTTCAAAACCAAAAATTACAAGGACTAATCAAGTAAGACATAGCTTCCTTAATTATGTCAAAGTGCCTGGCATCAAGTAAGGCAAAAATAATCCACTAAAAGTTAATGCTGATATGGCATAAAAATGACTTCCAAAAAATTTGGAATTGTGAAAAGTGTCATCTTTTAAAATATTGGCCCTGGTTTTTAACTTTTGGATGAATCAAAATTTCAGTCAGTCACTTCTTACAAGTCATTCTAATTATGTAATTAGTCATTAAGAGAAATCTCTGTTCTTACAGCCTTAATCAGAATTAAGACTTACAAAGTCTAAGGATATCTGTAATTGCTCCAAAAACAAAGCCTATTTTGCAAACTATTACCTGAGTTAACCAGTTTAAAATGCTTCTGTAAATTTACACATTATTGCATGCTTTCCATTTATAAAGAATGCATTTCCAAAAAATTTATTTTCAGAACAGTTGACATTGCCTTTTTAGAAATACAATAAAAGACAATAAATAAACCTGTGCATAGTTTTTTCCTGGTTATGTGTATGTTTGGTCTCCCACTGGGGATGAGCATCTGAGCCACTAATGTTCCAATTGTCTGGCTTGATCATCTTTGCTACATGTTATAGAAGAGATCCATGTTCCCGAGAGGAAGAATTAAAGGCTTCAGTGTTAAGATAACCACTTGGGATGGAGAAAGGAGTCACTACTCATCGTCACAAAAGTGCCTGGGGATGAGAGTGGATGAAGAGTGGGGACAGGAGGGGTTCCTGGGCAGTCCTTACAGAACGCCCACATGACATGGCAGGGTCTGTAAATTGTACTTCTGTGTTTCCTTGTGCGTCTGAGCCATTACTCTCCTCTCTTAGCCTTGGTTTCCTCTTATCTGTAAAGCAGAATAGAGTTCAGAGTGATTGAAAAAGAAGATGACTACTCAAAGTATCTATGTTCCTTGGTCATAAAGTGTGGTTTTGAACTTCCCAGCCAGTGCCTGCCTCTCCTTTCCTCTTAGAGCTTGCAGTTTCATTCATTTAATCAGGAGGAGACAGAAATGTAAGGACACCAAAAGACAAAGACTAACCAACAGGGTTTTACTGTCCCTTTAGTGTCCATCACATCTAATGCTCACCGAGGCTGCAGACCACAAAACTCTTGTGCCCCATCTGAGGATGGGGTCACCTATCACCTCCAGTACCTCAGGGCCCCCCTTGCTCCAAAGTTGGGAGCTGTCCCCTCAGGATGGGAATTCAGAACCTCTGGTGATACCCAAACAACCCTCTCAGATCACTGGAAAGAAAGTTCCTTCCCCTTCAGTAACAAACGTAGAAAACCCAGCTTGATTTCTACGCAAAGTTTGTTTTTGCCTTTTTTTTTTAAAGGGTGTCAGGACCAACAATCACCAGCTACCTAAGAACCAAAAAATTATACTTCCAAAATCTCTTGATGTTGATTCTGCAAAGAACAAGAGCTGTCCTACGTGTGCTTCTTGTGACAGAAACCCTTTTAAAGGTGGGTGTAACTGTATGTTTTCATTAGGACCATTAGAACATTAGGACCATTTTTCTCTTGCTGCACCGTGTCTAGCTTCTGGGGAACACAGTTCAGTTCAGTTCAGTCACTCAGTTGTGTCCGACTCTTTGCGACCCCATGGACCACAGCATGCCAGGCCTCCCTGTCCATCACCAACTCCCAGAGTTTACCCAAACTCATGTCCATCGAGTCGGTGGTGCCATCCAACCATCTCTCATCCTCTGTCATCCCCTTCTCTTCCTGACTTCAATCTTTCCCAGCATCAGGGTCTTTTCAAATGAGTCAAAGACTAGGTGTAATTTCTTTAAGAACAAAAGAAAGAGGTTTGCTTTTCAGGTGATGTCATTGTTTTAGAATAAGATAGAAGTTATGGCTGCACAGCTTTGTGAATGTACCAAATGCCACTGAATTGTACATTTAAAACAATTTTAATTTACTTTTATTTTTTGATCACACTATGCAGCATGTGGGATCTTAGTTCCTTGACAAATGATCAAATCCTTGGATCAAATCTCCTGCAGTGGAAGCCTGGAGACGTAACCTCTGGATGGCCAGAGAAGTCCTGAATGGTAGGTACAGTTTTAAATGATTGGTTTTATAGTGTATGAATTTTACCTCAACAACAACAAAAGGAATAATAAGAAATAGCCCTGTCAGTATCTGTCCCATAATAGGCACTCAAACTCTATTAAATAAAAAAGTGTCACCTGCTTCCCAAGAGAAGGAAGAATGCTGGGTGATGTATAGAACTTTAGAGAGATTTTTCATAAGAAACTGCCATAACACTCTGGGACATTTTATGCAATGATTTCTGATTTGTTGGGAGTCTGTCTTGTACCATGCAGGACGGTAGGTAATGGAGAGGAGGATAGGATAAAGGAGCGGGCTCTGCACGTATAGATTGTAACCTGAGAAGGGAAAACACAAGTACAAGATCAACTCCGAAGCAAGCAGGACAGATACAATAACAGAGTCACAAACAGAATGCTTCAGGACCCCAGACGAAGGAGGAATCAATGTCAAATGTCAAACTTCAACTAGGTTTTGAAGTTGGCCTTATAAGAGGAGCGTGATTTTGGTGAATGGAAAGGAGGAAGGACATTCTAAGTTGGTGAAATTGCACACGAAAAGGCAGATGTTGTGTCAAGACCACCCCTGGTGGTCAGGGAGGGGTGAGTAGGTTTTTGTAGTCAAAGTGAAGGGGGGTCGGGTGGGGAGAGGAGCAAAAGAGGAAAAGCTGAGACAAAAGAAAAACCAGGGCCTCATTTTTGGCGGCAGTTCTGAGCTCCTGGGACAGTGGCCATCCTGCAGCAGGCTGGAGGTGACTGTTGGGTTGAGGGGTGCTGTCCACACAGCCTGTGCAGAATGAGGAGCACTCATCCCATCCGCTCCGGGAGCGCTGACACTTGGCGCTCTCCGCTGGTCTCTTCAGGACTGTCCTCCCAGGGCGGCAGCTCACTTCCAGTGCCTGGGTCTGGAGGGGAGAGAGTCACTTGCTCCCTGGCTTTAATTTGGGACATGCTGATAAGCCACTCCAACCACAGAGCTGCCCATAACATGAGCTGAGTCTCTGTTTCAGCTACGTTGTGGCAACAGCTTCTTCTACGGCCCAGTCCTGCCTCCTTCACGCCCTTACAAATGTTGTTCCCAAGAGGACTCCCCATTCAATCTCCTGTATGTCCATCTCAGAGTCTCGGAGTCTGCTCCCAGGAACTCAAGTCTAAAATGGGAATTCTGGATCATCCCCTAATATAAATGGAATTGACCCCAGGTGTGGGAAAATGAAGATGCATAGAGTTTGCATCAGGCTGTCCATTCATCACCCTCTGGCTATCAACCCCCTTTGACTCTTGGTTCATGTGCTTGCTTTAGTCAACCTCACGTTTGCTGTCATAATTCGCCTGCCTCAAACCCTGAGCCATCATCCCTACACCATTCTCTTTCTGTTATAGTAACAACTCAACTCTACCCTTGGCCATGAGGTCCTGTATTCTGCACTGGTCTGTGGCTTCCTGGACTCAAATGAACCAGACAGACACAAGTTCCATTCACTTCTGGGGTCATGATACTTCACTCCTGAAAGGCCATTATCAAAAAGTCTGTAAATAGTAAATGCTGGAGGGAGTTCCCTTATGGTCCAGTGGTTAGGACTTTCACTTTCACAGCTTTCAGTGCCGAGGTCTGGGTTCCATCCCTGGTCGAGGAACTAAGATGCCACAAGCCAAGTGGTATGACCAACAAAACAAAACGAAAGGGAAGAAAATAATGCTAGAGAGAGTGTGGAGAAAAGGGAACCCTCCTACACCGTCGGTGGTAATGTAAATTGGTGCAGCCACTATGAAAAAGAGTATGGAGGTTCCTTGAAAAATGAATAATAGAGCTGCCATAATCTAGCAATCCCAATCCTGGGCATATACCTGGAGAAAACTCCCACTCGAAAAGACACTAGCCGCCCAATGTTCATAGCAGCACTATTCAGAATAGTTAAGACATGGAAACAACTTAAGTGCTACAGATGAATGGATGATGATGTGGTATATATATATATATATATATATATATATATATATACACACAAACACACACAATAGAATATTAGCCATAAAAAGAATGAACTAATGCCATTGGCAGCAACATGGATGGAACTAGAGATTATTTTACTAAGTAGGTCAGACAGAGAAAGACAAATATCATATGATGTCACTTACATGTGGAATCTAAAAAAATGATACAAGTGAACTTATTTACAAAACAGGAATAGACTCACAGATGTAGAAAACAAACTTTGGTTAAGAAAGGGGGAAGGGAAGGGGGAGGGATGAATTAGGAGTTTGGGACCAAAATACACACACTACTATAACATGAAATAGATAACCAACAAGGACCTATTCTATAGCACAGGGAACTATGTTCAATATCCTGTAATAACCTCTAATGTCAGAAAAAGAATAGATATATACGTATAACTGAATCACTTCGCTATATACTGGAAACTAAGACAACATTTTACATCAACTATATTTCAATAAAATTTTTAAAAAAATACTTTACTCCTTAAAAGCTTCTAATGGCTTCAAATTCCCCTTTCAGAATATCAGAACTCCACTAACTGTTTTTGACACTCATTTCAGCCTCCTCTTAGAGTAGATAAGGTTGGTTTTATTATCCCCAAGCAATTGAGTTCAGGGGAAACAACATTTTAATAATGAAGTAGACCCACTCCACCAACAGTAATCATCACCTAACTGCTTAGTAAAATGCCTAGCACAGAGCAGTTGTTCAATTATTTTTTAGTGAATGAGTGAATTTCCTTATCTCTTAATTAAGTACTCTATGCTGGCAACTCAAGTTTCTATTTCACTACATAAAGTTCACCAGTCCTCTCTCCAAAATCCCCAATATGTTTCTAATAAAACTTTGTGTGACAGAGTTCAAAGATTGATTGGCTTGCCTCCTCGTTCCAGAAATTAGTGGGTGGTCTTTGGGTCAAAAATGACTTCATTATGACTTTTGGTATGAACAGAGTTGCAGAAATCTGCATTTTCGTCTTCTCTGGGAAATTAGAAAATGACAGCAAGAAGAATGAAAAACCCCACAAACTCCATTTTCAATCAAACTTGGAGAGAGAAATACTTTTCAGAGTCTAAAATATATATGAAAGACCTACTAGAAGCAGCCGATGTCAGGCACAGATGTGGAGAAGTGTACGGCAGTGACAGAGCTCACAATCTCTGCGAGAACCCATTTCCCATATGGAGAGGTTTACCGCCAGGAGCAGGAGCTGGCAGGAACAGAGCTTGAATCAGAAGCCCTCCGAGTCCCAGCCTGGCTCAGAGGAGGCAGGTTTGCTCAGTTTCAGACCTGCAGGATGCAATCTTCCTCTGTGGCAGTAGAAGAGAATCATTGGATTGTGAAAGCAGCTTGCCTCCTGGAAAAGAACAGACACCCTGCCTCAAACACACGCATACTCATACTTAACAATTCAGAGATCGACACCCAGAAAAATAATGCTGACTACAATCAGGATAGGAATGCTACAGAAGTATAGGAATATAATATTTTATTACTATCATCAAATATATTTATCCTCAGCTTCCCTTGTGGCTCAGCTGGTAAAGAATCTGCCTGGAATGAGGGAAAGCTGGGTTCGATCCCTGGGTTGGGAAGATCCCCTGGAGAAAGGAAAGGCTACCCACTCCAGTATTCTGGCCTGGAGAATTCCATGGACTGTACAGTCCATGGGGTCACAAAGAGTTAGACACGACTGAGAGACTTTCACTTTCACTTGCTTAAAATGCTTAACAGGGCACTCGCGAGATATTTTAGCTCAAAACAGGAGACAAGAAAGCCTGCTACTGATGCTGCTACTGATACCAGGCTTTGAGATACCAGCTCCTTCCTATTTAGGGATAATTTAGAGGTATAAAAATTTGGAAAGAGGGTCATTCTACAAAATATCTGACCAAGATCCTTCAAAACTGTTAACATCAGTAAAAACAAAGCAAGTCTGAGAAATCGTCCCAGACTAGAAGAGCCTGAGGACCCTGAAGAGACATGATGATAGAATGTAGTTGTGGAACAGAAAAGAACATCAGCTAAAAACTAAGCTCATCTGAATAAAGTATGGACATTAGCTGATAATAATGTGTCAGTATTGGTTCACTAAGTATAACAAATGCATCACGCTAATGTAAGATATTAGTAAAGGGAAAACGGGGCATGGGGTGTATGGGAACGCTCTACTTTCTTCGTAATTTTCTCTTATTCTTCCAGTTTTAGTGAGATATAATTGGCATACAGCATCATATACG